GCAGTTGTTCACTCCTAACTTTGCGGGGTGTGTGCAATGGCACCAAGGAAAGAGAGAGGAGAGCAGCGGTTTGTCCCTGTCAGTAAGGACAAACAAAGGGAGGCGGAGCTCAAGTTCTGCGGTTTCAAGTGGATCACAAAGGGGCAAACACTGCCCCAATCCAACGGGAATTTTCTCATGGAGTGCAAATTGTGTGGCCAGGGGTTTCAGGGAAGTCAGATGAAGGCCGCACAACACTTCACAATAAAGAACAACTGTGCTAAAGTCTCCGCGGAGCAGGTGGCGGAGATTTGAAACAAGACGAAGTACTCGTTCGATCAGAGCCACCACCGGAAGATCCTCGACTTCCTGAGGTCTCGTGGGTTTCGAGACAACAAAAATACTTCGGGGAGGGAGCAGGCGGGGGAGGAAGAGTACGACGACAATGAGGACGAGAGGAGGGCGGCCGAGGGGGGAGGTGATGATGGTGACAACGATACACAGGACATGGAGGTGCAACGAGAGGTGGAGTGCGCCAGGGGTAAGATGAGGGGGGACAAGGCCGTTGACGAGGACACTACCCCGGATGAGGACGATGACGATGAGGATCAGGGCGCAGACATTGGGGCCTCTCTTGATGGGGGGCTGATGGCCACTGGCCGTCGAGGCCAAGAGGGGGCCGCCAAAGCGATGAAGGAGGTCACGAAATCGAAGAAGAGAAAGAGGAAGGCAAAGAAGACCGTCACAGAGGCGACACCAGCACCTCCTCTGTCGAAGAAGGGCAGAGTACTTCGACAGACATCCATGTTGGAGACCTTCGATCCGGTGTGGCAACGAGAGTTTTCGAACGAGTTCCTGCAGTGGTGGTACGTAAGCGGCATTCCATTTGAGGCGGCGAGGAGGCCGGAGTACCAGCGAGTGAGGAGGCGGTTGCTCGAGTGTCCGCCGTACACACATCCTGTGTTGCCCACACACCATGTGATTTCCGGCGATGGCATCCCAGAGCAGCAACGAGTTGTGGTGGAGATGGTGGCGGTCGTCTGCAAGGACATTGCGGCGATGGGAGCGACCATCCTCATGGATGGTCGCAAGTCCATCACAAGCGACCAGATAGTCAACTTCCTTGCTGTTGGGCCCACGGGAGCCTACCTTTTCAGGACTGTGCAGCGCGATGGTTCTGTTCAGGAAACAGCCGAGGCCGTGGTGGAGCGATGGAAGGACGTGTTCGACAAGTTCGGTGTCGAAAACGTCAACGCCATTTGCACTGATTCGGCATCCGCATATGTGGCTGCATCCAAGCTCCTCGCGAAGGAGGAAGTCAAGTACAGTCGCATTACTTGGCTTCCGTGTGCGGTCCATGTCTACAACTTGCTGTTGTCAGACATCGCGAAGGACGACACCAACGGGAAGCTTGGGAAGAGGGAGGACACCATCATTAGGGCTCGAGCTGTCGTGCGTTTCATCAGAGAGCACGAGGCTGCTCTCAGCCTTTATCGATGGTTCTATGCCGCCCACCCCTCTTCCGCCTCTGCAGTTGCGGCCAGCTCCAGCGTTGCGCCACCCTTGTCTCAGCGGCGAGGCAGAGAGCTTGTGTACCCCGCACAGACGAGGTTTGCGACACACTACTTGATGCTGGAGAGGTTGTTGGATCGTCGCCAAGCGTTGGAGGCATTGATAATGAGCGGCGACAAGTTGCGGACTACATGGAGGAGGTTCGTTTTCTTGCAGGTCAGGTGGGTGCGTCATCAGGTGCGGTACGTGCCATTTTGGGAGTACGTGGAGGACATCGTGGAGCTGATGACGCCTGTGATGCAGCTGCTACGTCGTTTGGACAGAGGGGGGCGCGTGATGACTCGCATGTGGTCGTGGGCACTTGCCATGGTTGACAGGGTGGTGAGGGCGAGACTAAGCAGGACGTCGATGGAGGAGCTCAACATCATTGTTCACGCTTGTCAGGCGCGGGTCGATCATAAGTTGGAGCCCGCACATCGCATGGCCCACCTCCTCAACCCTCGCCACAGGAGCATTACGTATTTTGGAGCGGCGAGGCGCAGCAAGCACGATAAGACACTCACAGAGGAGTCGCTGCGATACCTTTGCCAGCAGACTGGCGCACATGAGGATTTGTATCCGACGTTGTGCACACAGTTGGCGGAGTTTCTTAGTCGGGAGGGGGATTGGACGTACGGAGGGGTTGAAAGTGACAGGGACGCGGCCTCCTGCAGAGGGGAGAAGGAGACGTCGCAGGTCGGGCAGTGGTGGGTGCAGCACGGGGACGGGGATCCCTCTCCTTCAGCGTTACGCCATTCGCCTGACGCACACATGGACATGCGCCTCTCCAGCGGCTCCAGCGGAGAGGAACTGGGCCGTCCATGAGCGTGTTCAGGTGAAGAAGCGTAACCAACTTGGTTTTATCCAGTGCCGTACCCCCGTTCACCGTTCACCGTTCACGGGCTTGGTGAACGTGGGTCGGGCACCGGTCACAAAAAACGTGACCGGTCGTAGTTCACGGAGTTCACGCAGAGCGGGAACTCCGTTTTTTTTTTTTCGGGTTGGTAGGGGGGTGTTTTTTTCGCATAGGTGTGTGGTCCATGTCAATGGGCAACTGCCTAAATTTTTTTATTTTTTTTTTATGATCAGAATATATATTTTTTATTTTATTGAAAAACAAAATCAAAAAATCAAAAAAAAAAACGAGTTCGGTTGTGTTTGTTATAGCTTCCGTCGGCTGTACCCCCATTCTTAGGGTGTTTTGGGGCCCTACAAAAAACAGTGACTGACGACATCTAACACGGCGCAAGCGCCATACAACCACAAAAAGAAAAGAAAAATAGAAAAAAA